AAGATACATCCGGTTTTCCATGTATCGAAACTCAAGCCATATAAGGCTAGTGGCAGAGTACAGCCACCCCCAGTCCCTATCGAGATCGAAGGGGAACTGGAGTATGAGGTTGAACGCATTCTTGACAAGAGAGTCAAAAAACGCAGCCGACGGCAGGACTCTATCGAGTACCTTATCAAATGGTTGGGTTATGGACATGAACATAACAGCTGGGAATCAGCAAAGGCAGTTGCAAATGCCTAAGAACTGGTTCAAGCATTTGAAAATAGCAGAACTCCTGTGGTGCATGTGCAAACTGGTCGAAATATACGCAGTATGATATGTACACGTTGACATGAGTCAATCTGTGTTGCTATCACAGGCAATGCTCCGCTGGGCCCAGAGGAATACTAGGTACCAGGGCGCAAGATCGCATTCTGTATTTGGACATATGAATGCGATGTCAATAGCAATCCTCCATGGGGAACGAGTGGAGAGTGATGGTCCGGACATTCGACCATGCGAGAGGACGAGGCCGCCAGCCTAGCTATGTTCCATGTGGCCGAGGTCGCGCATGGCAGGCTGGTGGAGGACGCCTTGGTGGATGCACGGGGTAGCCTTTGTGCGTGATCGACTTGTCCTGGGCTATAGCAGACCGAGAGGTCACCATCAGGCCGATAGGTTATTGTACTATGTGTACATTGGTTTGACATTCCAGCTGTTATGCTGAGGGAAGAGTTTTAATGAGGGTTGTCAGCAGACACACTATCCATGTAACAACCACTCTTTTCCTCTTCCACGTAAACGTGTTCTTGAATTGTAATCAACGGGGCATGTGGCCAAGGGCACAGTCCGTTGTTACACACAGCAGGCCCAATGGCCACGCATGCGTCTATTCCCATATCACCATATTGGGACGGGGACGTCCCACCTCCCTGTGGGAGACGAATACCATATTTACCCGGTATTAGTAGGCATGTATTGGACCCCTAAAATGAGCTATGGATACTAATAGCGGGTCATGTATACTAACGCAGTTTGGACCTCTGATTCCAAAGTGTGGACAAAGGAAATTTTTACCAAATAGGCCGTGAAATACCCAAAAATGGGCAAAAATGGCGATGCTCGTGCGGAATGTTGTCAGCCTGTTCGCAGGGGCTGGCGGCCTTGACTTGGGGCTGCATCAGGTGGTGGCGACTAGCGATTGGGGCCGTCAGGGGTTTGCTGGAATGCTTGAAGCGCAGTTGCCTCTGCAATGCAAAGAACAAGGGCTGACATGGGTCTCGACTCGCTGGGGCATCACGTCGCGATGATGCTTGACACGCGGCGTTTTCCCTCGCTAATGGCGGCTGGGAAGGCTGAACGGATCTATGATTGGGTCTGTGGCCTGGTAGCCAGTGAGATGTGTTTTGCCCCACCTTCGCAGCGTTTTACGGCCAGTTTTGCAAGGCGGGGTCTTGCAACGGCAGTTGCCCCGACCAATGCCATCGCCTGCCCATTCCTAGCCCTAGGCCTTGGGGGGCCCGTGGTAGGCCCCAGTCAGGAACCTGCTCTGGCCGGCCAGGGAGCAGGTTGGCTCAATCCAAAAATCAGGGCGGCTTTGAAATCTCGACCGCTTCTATCATCGGGCCGTGTGGCGTCGGTCGCTGCCTTGCGATCCTGTGCTGAGAACGCCAACGGCGGCCAGTCGACCATGCGGCCATTTGGGGCACCCTGTCAAATTCTCCCTCTACAACATCCACCCCGACCCGATCGTCCCCGTCGATGTGTGAATCGCAGGGAATGCAGTTCGGTCCAAACTGGGCAACGAGTTCCAACACCAGCCCACGACTTCCCTTGCCACCATCCGCGCCTTCGTCGTTTCTGCTCTGTTGAGGTTTGGGGGTGGATACTAACACCGGGTCATGGATACTAACGTGGGTTCGACCCCCAAAGAGGGGGGTGGATACTAATGGGGGGTGCCTACTAATACCGGGTAAATACGGTATTACGAACACCGGCCTGATGTGGGGGACGCCCTACTAATGGCCCCTTGGTAGGGGGACGCCCTGCCCAAGGCATAGTGACATACCCCAACCAGCTTAGCGATATTATATGATATGGGAATAGGTTGGGGTGGTCCCGCCTAGGTCCCCGTAAGGACCTAGGTGCCCGGCGAGGCGGGTCCGTGGCTCAAAGAGGGTAGGAGCCCCACACTAACAATCTTCATGTAGCAATATTCTTCTATGCAAAGTACACGAAATTTACTCCGGTCAAACTTTTTACTTATATAGTGGCTAGTCTCTCCACCTTGGATGTTGGGCGTATCCAGGGCAGTCGATTCTTTATTCATGCAGTGGGCCCAATGCTCAATGGGGATCGATCCCCGGGGGCCTATTGTATGCGAGAGGTGGCAGCACAGCGAGATGGTGGTTCGTTGGTTTGCATGAGGTCAAAGAGTGTGCCACAATCGAATAAAACAATTCTATGCATGTACGCACACATATCTGCATGTGCGATGCCTAATCGTGGATTCATTGCCATCACATCAAGATAAGACAACACACCATGCACGTCCAGGCACTCATTACCGTTCTATTCCATCCATAATCGATGGGCCTTTTTCCCTTAACCCCTTGACTACTGGCCCTATCTAAGACCATTAAGTATTACTTTTCAGGGCCATAACTGCTTCAATTCTTAACCACTTGGGATATTTCAAAAGCCTAAACGCATCACAAGGATCTAAACAACATGTACAAAAGGTCATTCATAAAGATTATTAATTCGCACTCCAAAAAATGCTAATAATACTTGACCCTAAGTGACCACATCACATTCATAATGTCCTCAAATAACCTTGGATTTGGCCAAAGGCAAGGAAAGGGGTATTCCAACCCTCTTGAATACCATTCCACCCAACACCGATCTACAAGTTCACAGCTACAAAACAGGGGTAAAAATTAGAGGTGGGGAAGGGTGGATGCATAGGGAAACTGGTGGTGGAGGGAGTTTATACTACCCCCACATCATATATCATGTCCGATCTCGAATTCTTACTATAACTTGGTAAGATCAACTCAATCAATGAATCTGCCACCATTTTAGAATTTTTGGTTAATTTTAGCTTGATGTGGATCTTTCTATGTTAGTCACCACCACGCAACATGGCATTTGACAACCTTTTCAATAACACCCCTGTTCAATTCCATGCAACCCCACAATTCTCTGCATTATTGCATGGGCCATATTCCAGTATATCCCAACCCAATGCACCAGAATTCATTGCGAACCTGGTTGTAGACAACATGTAGGCACTATTACACCCTTTTAACATTTTGATACCATCGCTATCACACTTCCTATAGATCATATCTTGCAATGTGCTGAATCGTGCTGCCAACATTTTTGTTTAGTTGGCCATGTCTGCTTCAATCTAGGGCGTTTTCTACGTTGATGCAAGTATGTGCGGTCCTCAAAACCTGAAAGATAGATGTTCTTGATATGATCAAGGTGTCTTTTGGCTTTTCATCATCACTTGCACGCAGTTGTTGTTATTACCACAAATTCTGCAGTGAGCCCCAATCCTTTTCCCTGCAGATTCTCTTTTGGATCAAGCCAGACCTTCAGTGGGCATCGAACCACCAAAGCATACATCTCTCTTTGTGATTGCTCAGATCAATCCAGCTCTTCTCAAGGGCAAGGAAAGTATGTTGTATCCCATCCAATAACCAGAAAATTGAAAAATCGAGTTTCAGCTCCTCTTGACATATCACAAGAAGTGCAGCATCATTTGGAACGTTTGAGGGCTCTACAAGTAGCTCTTGATATGGCGATTCAAAGTTGTTTCAGTCAATTTTTCTGACCCGCAAGTTTTGACCTCTGTTTGGGCAAAGCTGAGATTGGGCACAACCTATGAAACAGAGGTATGTAAGTAAAGGGCGGGGTTGGAATGATGTTGAGTGTCCATGATGCAAACGGTGTTTAAGGTGGTTCTGGGTCCATGCATGACAGCCTACGCAATGGCATTGTCGTGTGAGGTGTGAAAAAGTGAAAGTTGGATTGCGCAGCAATGTGCCCTCGTCTGCCCCAAAACGGCCAGCGTGTGGCCGCAAGCGCCAGCCACATGACGACTGCTCTCACCATCCAGCCGTGCGACTTGCATGGGCCACTTCCCTTGCTGTGCCCACAGCGCACCACAGCTCCTGCCATTCCCCTTGACACCCAATTGGTGCTTGAGAAGGCACACAGCGCCTTGAGATGCCCCGCATGCTTTCCAGCCAACTCGTTGGAAAGCCGAATCCCAAGCTAAAAACAAGGCGCGATTTATTGGTGGTCGAGGGCATCGATCGAAACATGACAATTACATTGCGGAATTCCGAATTTCCATCTCGGGTTTAATACTCGGCTGTTAGTGCATGGCGCTTCCTTGACCGCACAGCGGCCATTCCCGCTAACGTGTCATACCATAATACAATCAATTGGACGTAACCAAGCATTGATCATCGTTCCAGGGCCCCTCCCACGTGCCAATGCAAACCACCCACGCTCACCAGGCACCATCGCAGTTCGTTTAGCCCTGGCAATGTCCAGTACATCAGTGCAGGGTGCTGCGTGCACGGCGACGTCCCAGCCCCTCGCTGGCCAAAATCCACGCCCGATCCATCAAATGCGAACCACATCGAGACCCGCCACGTGACCCACCGATTTCTTGCCACAAACAATACAATGACATGCAAAATGGCTGCTGCCCACGCTTGCCACAGCATCAAACTACCAGCAAACCGCCCGAAGAGCAACCTGGTGAGGCACCGCAAAAATCACCAACCCAAAAGCTTGGTCGCAGGGGCAGGTTCCTCTGGACACTACAAAGGGGGCTCTACCTATGGGTTTTCAACTCCATACAGCAGCCTGTGGGAGATCGACGTCTCCCTGCAGGCCTCCCGGGGCAAGCCGGCCGTCGGTACAGCGGAATAATTGCACAGGCACCGTTGAATCAATGGGATGCTTTATTCTGTGCCGGCGCATGTCCGCCCCAGGTGTCAATCCCCCGGCTGCATCCAGTTGGGCAGGTTCCGCGTGGCCATGTTCTTCAGCACCCACATGTCGTCGTGGATGACAAACTGGCCATCCATGCAGCCCATGGTGACCCGTTTGAGATCGTCGGCGATTTTGATGTCCACAGGCCCATCAGAGGGCGCCTGGATGATCACAAATGGCAGTGCCAGCAGCCTCTTGTCCGGCGGGCACGACTCGATGGGGGCTTCGGCGTTCCGTGTGGCAATCCCGTACAGGGCTGTGTACTGGTCCACGAGGTCAGCCAGCTCGCTCTTTTTCTGCTTGACCACCTCCTCCATCTCACATTTTTCCCGCTTCAACTGCACGGCCCTTGGGTCGCCGTCCAAGGGCTTGCCCTCCCAGTATATCCGCCTGCCGTCCTTCCTCACGAGCCCCAAGGCATCAAACACATTGAGCACATCATACACCCGCCTCCGCAGGTTGTCGCAGTCACTGTTTGGCTCCCCACTCCCCACCCTGCCTCCTCTTTCTCCCTTGCTTCCCTTGCCTCCTTTTGCCGTCTTTTCTTCCTTGCCTCCCGTCGATGACGCCATCTCCAGGATCAGATCGTCGGCCACTGAGTTGCAGCAGCCTCCGTGGTGTGCCTCCAATGCTGCCATCAACTTCAGGCTGATCTGCTTCAGTCCCTTGGACCTGCCAGTTCCTTTTGAGCCGGTGCTCCTTGAAGTGCGTGATGCCTTGCGCCGCCTCTCTGGAGACACCACCTCCTCCCCACCATCCTCTCCAAAGGCTGCCCTCCCATCTGTGTCCCCTGTGTCCATGCTGACTGCCCCGCACGCAAATGCATAATTCGATCCCCCTTGATTGTTCTCTTCGTCAGCCTCCCCTTTGATTGGGCTCATATGTTCAAAGGCCGCCAGAATGTCGCCTATGGCAGTCTCCAGCTCGATACCCGCCTGTGGGCTGCCCAGGATGCCACCAAACACTGGCTGCCCCAGCACGGGCTCTGTCAGCCCCCCGCCGGCCAGCCCGGTCTCCCCTCCCCCTTTCAGCACATCATCTGGGCAGAACGGCAGCGGCAGGTTACTCACGTCCACCATGGGCTCCAACCCCTCGTCCCCCAGCCCCTGGTGCGCCATCCCCATCTGGGGAAACATCTGCACACCTGATGCGTCCTCCCCCATGCACTCACCGCCATCATGCTCCTCCCAATCAAATCTCAGGGCGCTGGGGTGCGACCAGGCACCTCCATGCACCCCTTCCCACCCCGCATGCCCTCCAGATGGACCAACCTCCTCCTCTGCCACCCCAGCCCCAGTAGATTCGCCCCCTTCCACCACCCCACAGTCCTGCTTGGGGGTCACCAGATCGCACTTCTTCTTCGTCGCCCGGGAACCCTTCCTGACGATCCTCTCCCCGGTGCCCCTGCGCACCGGGCCCGAGGCCCCTCCCTCGCCCCTCCCCCACCCGCCGATCATCTTGTCCCTGGGTGTCCTCAGCAGCCCCTCCAGATCATGACGCCCAAATCTTCCTGCGATCGTCTTCACCCGGCCGGGGGGGGTCAGGACTTCCGGCCCCGTCCCGAGCCCCCCCCCGGTGGGCGTGTCCGGCCTGTGGCCCGTCCAGTCAAAATAAGACCCTGGCTCCGATGGGCTGCACAACTCCCTAACGATCCCCTCCCCTTCCCCCTCTCCCATCGGCCCACACCCCCTGCCACGCGCCTTCGAATTTTCCATCTTTCGATTTTTCCTCCCCACCATTGTTTGATCCGGCGTCTCCGCCTTGACGCGCACCCTGTCCTGGCCCCCAATCTCGGCGATATCCCCTTCGGGCGTCTCGGCGATCCGCCGGCGCAGGCGCTTGAGCAGCGGGCTGCAGGGGGAGAAGGGCATGATGGACTCCAGAGGGTCCTCCGGCGCGCCGTCGAACATGCCGCTGTCGCGCACCTCCTGCCACAGGTCGGCCAGCAGCACGGAGCCCAGGTCGCCGTCTGGGCACTCCAACCAGGGCGCGTCCCCGCCAGACCCCGACGGCTCGGAAATGCCTGCGATCGCAGCGGCAGCGGCGACAAAATTGATGATCCTTGTTTCCCGATAAATGCCGCCGAATATTCAGAGAGACTTGTTGGGAGAAGAGCAGAGAAGAGAAGCCCTGAGCCGCGAGAAATCGGCTGCGAGACGGGGCGATCTCGCCCCAAGAGCGCATGGCAGCGCCGCGGCGCTGTGGATAGGCTCTGCGATCATAATCGAATCATTTCGGACCCTTCCGTTGAACGCTCAGCGGGGCATGTCGGCTGCCAAGCGGAGCAGACAAGAGGTGACAATCTCTCAGCGAATATTTGCCGCAAGGAGGGGCCATCCCACCCGGAGAGCACATGGCCGTGCTGCGGCGTTGCAGATCGCCCTGCGCGATCTTCTGGAAGGATGGGAGGGAAGGGGGGGAGGATGACGGCGGGGGGCAGGCGCAACGCCCGCGGCGCCTTGCGGGCGGCCAGTCCAGGGCTGTGGGCCGCCTGGGGCGCTCCTCCAGATAGGACGGCTGGCAGGCTCCCTGGGGGAGGCCGAGGGTGCCAGATATGAGGAACACGTGACGTGGCTGGGCGCGGGAGGCACCGGGAATGGGGAATGGCGAATGGGAATGGTATGGGTGGAGATGCAGTCTGTATAGATTTAGCAGGTGCATTGCCACGCCAGGTTCGGGGTGTGATCTCTCTGCCGTGTATTCCGGCAGTTGTTTCTCGCGCACGTGATCACGAGCGCGAGACACTGCTATGGGAATACACGACAAGGAGATCCCTGGATTGTGTGGCATCCACCGACGTACCTCTGCCATGTCGAACAAATAAAGTGCAGGTGGTACAGAGCCGTAGATGCCAGGCCAGCCAACTTTCCGGGGCTGATAGGCAATGATGCAATCCCAATGTTTGGGAGACACCACGGTCACCTCCTTACCCACAGGCGAAATGGGATACGGCAAGGGAAACGGGGGTGAAGTCATAGCTAGAAGCAAAAATGCACGAGTCAACATTCAAGTGGTGGGCCCATATTTGATGCCGCCTTACACGGAATGTTTGTCTTATATACAACACCAACTCCCAAATGCCGCATCCCTTGGGAGTTGTTACTCCCGGAGGCAATACGAATGAACCATTTATATCCTAGTGTACCAATCGCTAACAACCAATCAGCACCACAAGCCCTATTTGAGCCTTTTGCACGATACTCCTGACTTCCTGATGCACCGAAATGATAACTCCCAGATAGAAGTGATTACTCTAGGATAGTCTGAAGTCGCCCCTCCATACATTTATGCACAATCTGAAAAGTTGCAATAACTCCCGACCTGGCCCAGGTCACTCCCGGCACAGCAACGTAGTAGTCATTCCATCATTCAGGCGTCCCAATGCATTAATATAATTGCCCCAACTTAATGTTCCTCACTCGGCCTTAATGATCCGCCCCGGCCTCAACGATCCATTCCCGGCCTTAACGATCCGATACCTGGCCTTGGCGATCCGATCCCCAGCCTTGACGATCCAATCCCCGGCCTTGACAATCCACTCTCGGCCTTGATGATCCAATCCCCGGCCCTTAAGATCCACTCCCGGCCTTGGTGATCCAGTCCCCAGCCTTGACGATCCACTCCCAGGAGTGGGGTGGGAGTGATGGGAGTTATCCTCTTTGGTGGCATCTCATGGTTTTGGAGCATGGAGGGAATCCTGCCAAAGTCAAGGATTACTCCAATTATTGGAGTAATGCCGCCCACCCACGCCACCATAACGACGCCACCCACGCCACCATAAACTATTATAGTTTAGAGGGCTCAAAAGGATGCAGCTTGGATAGCCATCAACGATGGTCGCCTGTTCATAGGGTCAACGGAATAAGGTAGTCAGTTATTCAGTGGTCATTCCATGATCAGAACATCCCAAAACCCATTCACTAAGTCATGGCAGATTTAGTCCGTCATGTCCCAATAGATCTTGCAAGTTACTATCAAAATAGACAAAATAACAAGGGTACTTAAAAATTCGCCACACTTGCATGCCACTTTGTACCTGAACGACCATCCGTCAGTTACATACGAGTTTCTAAAATACTATGGGGTAGGTAGAAGTTACTATGGGCCATGCAAGTACCCTTCCTGAAGTATATACATGTATCCTTTGCAATATAAATAAGAAAATAGGAATGAAAAAGCTCAGTGCATGTGTTGATTAGCATGTGCATGCATTGAATATGGGCAATAAACAGAATGCCATCCATTGGCTGGATGCCGATATGGTGTGGGGTAGAGGGAGCGTTTCATTGTTATTTACAGCACTTAGGGTCAAATTTAGTTTTCAAGTTTACAATTATGTATTTATGTCTATGCTTTTATGTGTAAAAATATAAAAATGCAAAAAGAGATATTCTAACTATTGTTCGGGTCGCCAACCAACGATAAAATAAAAAACAATAAAGATAGTTTATTATATACTTCACTCAACTAGTGCCCCATGAGCCCTAGGACAAAAAGGAGGGAAGTGCATGCCTCA